CATGAAAAGTATTAGTTTTATATTTCTATTAAATTAGTTGAAAATTCTCACGGTATTTTAATATTATCGTATTTCGTCATAAAATATTTTTATTAACTAGGGAACGGGTTTCCACCCCAATCCGTACTGAATTTGGTTACACAATGGCTGAACGATTTCATAATCCCGAAAATTTTAATATATAAAGTATATAACGAACGACAAATTTTCTCAACTAAAAAATTAACATGTAACAACCAAATGGTGGCTATAATCTAAAAATTAACAATTTAATTACAATTGTATCACCTTTAAGTCAACAAACTCAACCTACGTCTAAATTACAGTATAAGAAATGTAATGGATGCAATCGAAAAAGAAAAAAGTTTAATGAATCCATCCGATTTTAAAAGCCAAAGCAATATTCATATCAAGCGGTAATAAAGTCATTGATGTTTTTACAAGATTTACACAAACTAATTGTGTTAGAAATGTTAGAAGAATGGAATTTTTTCCATATGATAGTTTCAAAGAATTGGAATTTATTGCCGAAGGTGACTTAACAAAATTTATCAAATTGGATTTGTGGTCCTAAAAATATAGTAGCTCTCAAGAAAATAACCAATTCTATAAACATCAGTTCTAAAGAGTTAAATGAGGTACGATTTTAATTTGAATATTGATCATAAATATAAACGTAAGATAAATTTTTTTGATAAATTTTTTATTTCATCTTAAATTATATTATAAAATGTCTTTTAAAACGGAAATATGTACTTAACTTTAGGTATATTAATAGATGTTATGGAATTACCCAAGATCACATTTCACAAGATTTTATGATAATTATATTCGATATGACACATTACATAACTATGCATTTTTTAAACTTTCTTGGAGGCATAAATTAGCTAAATTGGCAAGTTATTATCACAGTGGCAGACGATAATGAGATTTATGGGATTATTCCTTTTGTTGCATCGGAGGTTTTCAGGGAAGAATATACTAAAGCTTCAGATGTGTATGGCTTTGTATGATTATGTGGGAATTTTTTACAGGAAGAAGGCCTTTTGGAATCGAGTTCATGATGTAGATCTTATTATTGACATTTGTGATGGTCTTCGCCCTCCGATCGTTACAAATGC